CTGCCTTCACTTCAGTTCACCATTTCCTGTTTATTTGTGCCTTGAAGTGGCCAATCGCAGACAGAGGCTTGTTTTTCATTTTAGAGTGATTCACCTGCGTTCTGGACGGCGTGGTGAAGGCGCATAGATAAGATGCTTGCCTTTGGTGTGGGAGACCTGGGTTCGATTCCCACTGTGAGACATCACCAGTCACACTTAGTCAGTCATTTACTTAAACCTTGGGTAGGTAACATTGGAGGACTAGCAAGAGACACCTAGATTTTGAAAGTATCCAACTGAAAAAATCCTACTCCCTCCAAAGCCACTCCATTCCACACGCAGTGAGTGCACAGGTAGTTAAGCCGGCCAATCATTTCATTGGCTGTTCTTATTACAGTCCTGTGACAGCCACAGATAAAAATTCAACAAATATAACAATGCATTCGAAATAAATTGCCAAAGCTTTAAATTAGGTTATAAATTTAAACAAATACCGACCTGTCCGAGAGCAGTAACAGAACATTCATGTGCCAGTGGTTATCCGTATTTACCCTCGCCTTCGGTTGCTGTTCTATTATTGACTGTAATCCTTGCTGCTATTTATTGTTTTTTATTTTTTTTTACACCAGTGGTGTATTGTGCAGCTCTCTATATGGCTCTGGGTTTCCCCCCTCTTCGGCTCTGGCAAAACAGGCTTGAATGTAACAGACATTCACTTATATGTAAAAGTCCGGCATTATAGCTTCAGTCATCCAAAAATGCTAACAACCTTTTTTTTTTTTTTTTTTTTTTTTTTTTTTAAAAGCTGTTTATATCTAATGGTGTTAAATCAAGTTCAAATTAAGTAATACAATTTCCTGCTTTGAGAAATATGGCTTGTCAGGTTACACCTGTCTTTGTTGACCAATAAAGTACATTCAGAACAGTGCAAGTATACCAGGAGTGACACATTCATGTTTGGATTTTTATGTTAATGTCACATTTTGCTGACACAAGGGGAAAAAACAAAAACAAACAGTCCACTACTGCACATCTCTACTCGCGCAGCTCCATCTTCAACCAAACAAAGATGTGTTTTTCACAAGTATGTTTGTTTTAACCCTATTGCAAATAAAATTTCCCCTGGTGCGACAAAGATTGAACTTGAACTTGTACCCTGTCTTTCTCCCAATGCATGCTGGGATGAGCTCAGTCTCCCTCGCCTCTGCCAGGGATAAAGCAGGTATGGAAAGTGGATGGATGACTGAAATAAACAGCAGGCTTCATCACAACCTTCCACAACTAGTCTGCCATCTTTGCTGCAGATGTCTTGCCACTGCAAAGCATGGATGTATAAAGAGAACTGGATACAGTGGATACACAGTGACGCATGAAGCAAAAACGTTCAACTTCCAGGTGTAAAATTACTCAGATCCTCTGCATAGCGTTCACATCACATGTACCTATTTAAAAACTATCTGCTGAATTACAGACGTGTCTTTGACAATGAATCTATGGGGGAAATAATTTTTGGGCCTGTTTGCGTCACGCGACAGATGTGGAAGTTGTAATTACACTGTTTGGCCACTATGTGAAATTGGCTTCAAAGCCCTGCGCACTTCCTGGGGGCTTGCTGCAGAGGGACACATCCTGCAGAAAGTTAAAGATTTCAACATTAAAGCCCCTGAAAACTTGTTTTTTTTTAAAAAAAAAAAAATTTAATATCTCTCTACAAGATTCAATATATAATAATCTTTATTTGTAGAGCACTTTTCAAAAACAAGTTACAAAGTGCTTATCACTAAATATGCAATAATCAAAGTTGAAGTTTGAAGAAAAATTGCCTTCGGCAATCAGCTTTGATTGGTGCATGGAAATCAATGATCTTCCAACCAAATCCCTCCCACTTCAAACTGTGAAAAAAGCACATAGGGATCTCGCATGCAAAATATTGAATACCTAACAACCTAATACCTAACTTTTTTTTTTTTTTTTTTTTATATCTAACTTTGGCAGAAAGTAGTGTCTATGTAGGACCCCATCACTCATAAGGGGTGCTAATTAGCAGAGTTTCAGGAGCCGGACCACACATCAACCACGTCATCGCAGCATTTCCATAAATACCCTATCGTAGCCTCCACACAACGCCTCGAATGTCTATTCAGCAACGGCAAGCCTCGTACATCTTTCTGTTTCGATCATCAATAAATCACTTAATCGTACCTGTTTATTGTCTGGTCCTTGCTAGTGAAGAAGGTGATGAAACTGGCAGTTGTATATGCAGCTCAAAACCAGCACAGCATACCAGTGACTTGCACTAATGATCCCGAGTATGTTGACTACGAGCTCCTGATTATACAGTTCAGTGCAGCTTTAATCAGAGCTTCCTCCTCTCACCAGCCAAAGGAACTGGGAAGAACTGGCTGATTTTCTCCAGTGGTCTCTGCCATCTCCGAACCATGCTCCCATCCAAGACAAAATAATAGGCTTTCCTCAGCGCGCCTGTGCCCCACCCTAAGTTTATTGGTGCATGAAACATGGGAGCATTGTTGGCTCTGCCATGATGCAGTTTACCAAATACATTCTAATGCTGAGATCAGCTGCGTGTAATAATTTGATGGCTTAAAATACAACAGGGATGACTATAGAACAAAGATGTTTTGGGGAGCAGAGTTTAAGGCCATTGCCAGCCGTGCCATGGTTACAGCTATAAAAGGCTGTAGAATGGATGATTGTGATGGGAGATTGTGAAGTTTTTTTGAACTTTCTAAGGTCAAGCTCAATCACAGCTGCATACTGCCGGTCACAGTGGAGCGCTTGTTTTTTTCTCTCTCTCTCCCTCTTCCTTTTGTTTTTCTTTACTTCATTGCATTCCTCTTGAGTCTCATAGATCAGAGTTGTGATTTTATCTGTAATTCTTCTGCTGTTGGAGACCATGAAAGATTTACATTCAGTAGCCAGACACTTATGTAACATTATGTAACATGGTTTCCATTAGTGTGGATTCTCATGTACATACTGTGTGGCTTTACTAGGTCTTCCTGAAAGAATCCCCAAACCAGGTATGTCTATCAGGTATATGCCCTTGAGAGTGGTTCACAGCAGGAGAGGACATGGACGTCTCCGTTCGTGTACTCTGATGATATGAAATATGTGATCAAATGAGCCTGCAGTTATTATGTTGAGTTTATCCTGGGAGAAATTTCAGGGAGACGTCCCAGTGATCGTTTCTGGTAAAGGCTTCCTGGCACGCACCACTAATCTGCCCACTCACTAAGGAAAAAGAAGAGGGAAAATTGGACACAATTGAGAACAGAGACATTGTTCAAAGAGTTGCTGAATTGGAAGCGGGTGCTGGCATTGGAAGCACAAATCTTTGACTCCATCAGTGCCACTGTGTCAGCATCGAGCTCCAGCATCAGCTCCCACTTGAGTCTCAGACGTGTACTGGTTCAAAGAGCTGGGAGGAGACATTTCTCCCTTGGATGGAGCCTGTGTAACACTGATGCCAGCTGGTGACGGTTGAGGGAGAAAAACTTGGTGAGATGTATTGTGAAAGCTGTACTCTTGAGTTGTCTGTGGTCTGTTTGATTCGCAGTCTAAGTTTTCCTGGACTGTGCACAGACCTAAAATAAAGTAATGGCTTTGTTTCCCCAGCAAACTGGAAGTTGTGAAACTGTTTGGGGACTTGATCCTTTTTGTTATTTTTTTTTTTTAAACAAAGTAATTTTGTTAGTTTGCAGCAGTGCACAAGTATGGTTTCTGTGACCAGTAAGTGGTCAGTATCACAGGTGGACTTGCCAGACAGCACTGTGCTTAAAAGCAATTTGTTTGTTGGGATTCCTGACAGTAAAAGTGTCTGGGTTGAGTTATGAGCTGTGTAGACTTGGTCCAGGTGTGCTCAGTGTTTAGTGTGAACATGTGCCTAAGGTCAGTTTGACTACTGGCTCACTCTTGCTCTCATTTGACATGTTAACCTTTGCCCATAATCTTGTAACTATGTGCTGCTGCTTTTGGTTTCTGCTAAGAACAACATCAATAAAAAAGTCACGGGCAAATAAGCTATGAGCTTCTTGTGTACAATTGGTATGTAGCGCCCTCTTCTGTCAAAAGTCAAACATTTTTCACTTAAGATTTTCTCCTGAATCACACCATTGTTTGAACACTAAGTGTTCAGTTTGGCTGAATGAGGTTCTCAGCGTGGAATGTCTTCTCTCTTTTCACGATGAGGGACACTGTTTATAACTACCATGAATAATTGTGAGATTTGCACTGCATCTGGAACCTATTGAAGTATATGCTGGCTCTGTCTTTCCCATCAGACCAACACTGGTCAGTGCCAAACATGTGTTGCCACACAGTCTATCACCTATCAGCTGCAGTACAGTTCTAATATAAATTGTAATCAAGATAAATAAATGGTGATTTTTCTGTGATTGTTGAGACTGATCAGCCCGCAGTAGAGAAATGTTGGGCATGACTCATGCAATAGAAACTGATGGTATTTGGTGCCGTGTTCTCAAACAATGACAAAGTATATTGTGTAAGTTGTACTCAAAACTAAAACTTATTCAGGTTTCAGTCAAATGTGATGACAATGATTAAGTAGTAAGAAGAACAATCTCTAGTATTCTCTATGTGGTGTGTTTCTCCATGTGTACAAAGCTCCTGGTTAATTCTTGTTATGATTTTCACTGAATATATCCTACATGATGGCATGTTAGACTTTGAGTCAATGTTTTCATACAGTACAGTCTTTGCAGATTTAGAGCTTTTGAAACATAGATATTACATTTGTTCAATGCCAATACGCTGCTTGGTGGAGCAGTAATGCAAAAATACTGCTGGTGAATTCCTGCCTGTGCACTGATCATAGCTCTTTTTGTGATTCTTTTACAGTAACACTGCATCATGGTCTAAGCACTTGCACACTGTCTCAATGGATTCCTCAACTCTGCAAAGTTGGTTTCAGCTGCAGCAGAAAGTTTGACTGTCATGCTTACTCACCCTCTTACTTCTGTTCACTTTCTCTTCCTCCACAGGAGTTCTCACCTTCAGACAACAGAAATAACTCGGTGTCCAGCAGAACCCCGACCCCACCAGGACGCTACTCACCCCATAGCCCCATTGATCGGGATGTACCCATGTCCCCTCGTCGCAGGTAAAGAGACCAGTTGTTTGCAGACTGCTATGGATACACACTTCTAATCTTGTAGTTGCACATTTTGTTGCAATGGAACATAAAGTACAAATATACAAGCTAGCACATTTAACCAGACATATGGTAGCCATTGCTTTTACTGTATCTGTTGGAAATGGAGGGGGGAGACACAGCTTTGCTCTCACATTATAGTGAAAAAATAATGTTAAAATCTTAATTGACCTCAAAACTAGTTCATCTTCAGAGATTGAAGTGTATCGCACAGCCTAAACCTACACACATTAACAGTAACAAGGGGAAGAAATTTAACATAACAGGGTGTGTACACTATACAGGCAGTCATTCAGCACCATCTACAGGCCAGTAGGGGCTACACCCACAGATGCAAACTTCAGAAATCAACACCTACAGCCAGGATTGTTGAATCAACAGTGACACCATTTTAACATCAAATGGTTGCATAAACATGACAAAAGGCATATAGTGTTGTATCGGCGGATATGATGATGAATTATAACCCATTTATCTGGGAAGCCAGTTTCTGCTAGAAACATCCCTTTTGTACATTTATAATTGTTTCCTCTGTGTGGACTGTGCACTAAAAAGTCTATCTAACCAATGCATGCATTCATCGTTAGTCAGCTTGTGAGTTTCAGCTGACCCTTGGTGCTTGGAGCTGTTTGCAGCTGCACTCTGAGTCGACAACTACGAATAATTTTTCGGCCTTTGGGAAACAGTATATTGTGTCCACCACCTGCACTGCAGTTAGCTTTTTCCGGCTTCGCCCCCCTCTCTGATGAGGTGATGTAGCTGTAATTTGACTCATTTCATAGCAGATGCTGCCCTTTTAACATTTTTGGGATCTACTTACTTACTTGCCAATGTTTTTTGTCCCAGCAGAAATGAAAATCTTCTTTTTGTCTCTCACATAATCCTCTCAGCTGGCGAGCCTGATGTGTGTGTTTTCACAGTGCAAGGTGGTTGACTTTGGCCTCAGTCCCCCCCTTGGGTAACCATGGCTAGTGATATGACGTGTCAGCAACTGCAGTCCATATTCCGAAAAAAGTCTGATTTTACTTCTCCCCCGATTGGCCCCCAGTCTAGAGCCCCCGGCCTGCACACCAAGCCTCTCCCTGCTCCTCCTCAGCCAATCACAGCCTCAGTGACACCCATTTACCCACCCTTTCATGTCGCATAGCCAATGAGTTTCAGGCCAGAGGCACACCTTTCAGTCAGACTTGTTTTTCTGTCTCGTCTGGTTTAGATAGAGGTGTGTGCTCAGCATCTGCATGTGCGTGCTAATAGTTATTTCTCTTGTATGTTCTGAGTTTCTACAGCACTACTGGAAAGAACAGTTGAGTAGCTCCCTTTCTTTGTTCCCTCTTTCTTTCTTTTTGAGGTGAGTCTTGTCATCTTCAGTTTTGTCATTTGGATTTGTTTTGTCAGGATGTACCAACTTTGGTTTTAGAAATATGGCTGGAATTTAGCTTTGTGATTTGGATATGTTTTGGCTACATGCATGTGCTGTGACTACATCGTTATCATTGTTCCTCTGTGCCAAGTCTGGGTATGGAAACCAGCAACACATATGTAGTATAGATGTGAGGACATTAAATAGCACAAGTCCCAGATGACAAACTACACTGAAGTTGTCTGATACTTTATACTTTATTTATACTTTATTACTGCTTCCACTGCAAATCTGCACATTCGACAGCTTTTTCAGATGAATGCCATTTCCCTTCACCCGAACTTCTGTTATTTGTTTTCCTCCCATTTAACCTAGAGTTTCCATTTGTTTTGAGATTGCAATTTCAAACGGGATGGTGAGGGAGGCAAAAAGGGGAAATGGACTGAGGGTGGAGCTGAGCATGTGGAGAACTTGGAGTGTGTTCTTTAGAGGGCTGTTTTCAATTTGACCCATGTTCGGTGATGCAGAGGAAAGGGTCTGAGCATTTGCTTTGGTCGCATATTTGTTGTCTTGTGTGTTTGCCATCTCGTGTTTCAGCCATGTTCATTTAGCAGGAAGCCTAAAGCTGAAATCCAGGCAGGAACAATACATGTATAAAACACATAGTTATTTTTAAAGCTTATAAAACCCCTATACATGTGAGGTGTAGTTTTATAGAGGTCCATAATTACTTATGTAACAGCAACACATTTTTGGGGGGGTTTGTCTTAAAATGAAACCAGGACTATGATGTGAAAGTGCTGACTTTTAGCTTTAGAGTTTTTTTTTGTGTTTTTTTGTTTTTTTTTAACTTAAAGGCAGCACTCAAAATGCCTTTTCATGCAGAGTCCCCTGATTTAGACATAACCAAACATAAACATACATAAAACCAAAGCAACTTTGTTTGAGTTTATTCTGCCCAAAAAGCTAAATGTTCTTGACTGGCCAAGTCTGCCACCTGACCTCAATCCAACAGAGCATGTGTTTCACAGACTGAAGGCAAAAGCCCGAATAGCATAAGCAGATACCAAGTATTTGTGGATGTTTCTGTTTCATAAATAACAGACTACAAAGGGTTTGAAAGCAAATATGTGACATGACTTGAACAGAGTACAGAGTAAACACAACTTGTTTGTTGCAAATCTGTCACTGTCAAACTACATATGGTCTGTAATTTTGCCCAACAATATAACCAAATACAAGGCCTTTACATTTTTACATTTGTATGTTAAATCACAGTAGCAAACAGTTTAAATGGTTGAGGTTCAGGTCATCGTCTCTGAGCAGATTCTTCACAGCTCAGGTGTCGGTTAAAGAGTAAATATTTGGGCTGGTTTGTTGTATGTGACAACAGATGGGACAGTCCATCAGATTAAACTGACTGACTCTGGCTGACAAGTTGGCTACAGGTGGAAAGCATCAAACCACACCTGGCCAGACCAGTGTACTCGGGCAACCGGTTCCTACTGAAAGCAAACACTCACCAGCTTCGTCCTGACAAATACACTGACACAAGAACAGTCTTTTTCTTGCTCTCAGTGCATCTGTCAGTCCACATTTAATGCACGTTTCTTCAGCAGGGGTAGGGAGGGACTGGTGGTATCCAACCACACTTTAAGTACAGAAGAAGCCGTAAAAAGTAACGGCTTTTCCACCACACCAGAGGTAAAGAATTTGCTTGTGAAGCCAGTCCCTGTTCTTTCTTCTTCTAATTTGATGATTTTAATGACTTGACAGTGTAAACTACCCAAAGGTGAAAGTTTCCTCTGCCCCCCTGTGCACTGACTGGCTGGAAACGCCCACAGGATGCAAAGTCGGAAGCAGTTTTTTATTTATTTTTTTTTTTTATTGTTTCTTGGCTGTTTATTAAAACATTAGTACAAGATACAAAGCATGTCTGTTTTCTATCATGCCTTGTGTCAGGCATAAGGCTTTCTTATTCATTTACACAATCATGGTTGCTGAATAGATTGAATGACTGTTATTTTGCATTAGAAAGGATTTCACACATGCTATATAGCATCCACTGTCTCCTTATATCCTTTGTGTTTTTGACTTGAGGCTGTTTTCTGAGTGAGAAGAGTGCCTCTTGTAAGGGGATATGACGGAGTCCTGTTGAGCCTGTGCCATTAGACAGTTTTTGGCCTATTGCCTGTGGTGTGCAATCTAGACTTCATGCTCAAAGGTCAAAGTCTTAAAGCCAGCTGCTGGCCCTTCCTTCATTTCCTTTGGATTTAGACTAGACTTTCATGACATTTAAATTTTCAATCGAACACACCACTAGGTGCTCAACATATGATTTTAGTCAATGTGATGACCTGTGATAAATTTTAATTTCTTCCTTCCACAGCAGTACCAGCTCTGACTTTGCCATGCAGAGGTTTGACAGGGACTCGGAGGTGTACAAGATGATCCAGGAGAATAAGGAGTCCCGCACGGCGCCTCGTCAGTCCAACACCTTTAAAATGCTGCAAGAAGTCCTGGAGGCTGACGAGAAAGGTTAGAAGCACTCTGCGTTACAAACAAATGTGCACAATTGGAAAGGAGAAAGAATCGCTGTTAGCATGCAATTCTCAGTTATGTCAATTGTTGCTCAAACATGAGTGCGTTTGCATGGAGAAGCAAAATCGATTGGATTGTGTATATGTTTGAGATTTGGACTGATAGTTTATCTCAGTAACCCCTTTTGCAGGGGCTGGTCTCAGGATTCAGCTATTATGTCAAATGCAGCACAATTTATATCTTCTCCTCCTGTTGTTTGCTGGCATCATGCAGAACAGGCGTGTGAATTACTGAACTGTAATGTGGACTTCCATATGGCCATCACCTGTGCAGGATGTAGAGGAAAGCTCTCTTGTGTGCAGTTTATATTGTGAACAGCATATCATGCAATGCATCTGTCCTGCTCTTCCCCCCCAGCTTTGATAAATGGCGGGGCAAATAAATCCAGATAGTAATAACATTCTTTCATGACGTGATAATGACCAATGTGTGGAAACCCATTTCATGAAGCGTGTCCCATGTGTGACTAGCCAGTGATGATGAGTGGGGAAATGCAAACACCGCTGACAGAAAGCAGTGAAGACAAGACAGTGTTGATGTGATGAACAGAGAGATGCAAGCCTGTCAGAACATCCCTATGAGCAGCTGTGTTCATGAGTGTGTGTGTGTGTGTGTGTGTGTCTTTGGCTCCAGAGGCAGCCCTGCGGTTTCCAGGAAAGCTCACGCCCGACGTCCCCAAACCAAACACATCAGTGGGAGGAGTCAGCAAAAACCACACCTGTGAGAAGTGTGGCACCAGCATTGTGTAAGTCTGTCACCAACAGTTACACGTTCAGTGGAATAACATAGGTGTGTGAATAATTACAATGATAATTTGCAGTAAAAGATGTTACACATGTAGAGTGTGATAGAAAGTGTGTAGTGGGGCTGTATCTTTTGGGTTTTTTTGTTTTTAGAATGTGTCCAAAGTATCAGTTATTAGGGTTGACTGGTTGACAGTTTTGGTTAACTGAGCTTTATTTGACCTAAATCATGTAAAAACAAATCTGTCAGTGGGGTAGTTTTACTTCTTTCTAAGATGTATCAAATGCTAATATTTTTTTACTGTGGTGTCAGCGCGTCACTTTTTCTTTATGATACAAATGAAACTATGATGTTTGTCTGTGCTGAGCTTTGCAACACGAAAGTTCATTTGCATTGGAAATGAGGAAAAATATTTTCACTTTGTTGTCAGATCGAGTTTGTCTGGTGTCTGACTACATTCATCTTTCCACAGCACGCTGGCTGTGCGCATCACGGACGACCACTTCCGCCACCCGGAGTGCTACACTTGCACAGATTGCGGTCTTAACCTCAGGATGAGAGGTCACTTTTGGGTTGGAGATGTGATGTACTGTGAGAAGCATGCCAAAGAGAGGCACCAAGGCCCAGGTAGTTCCCCTCAGGCCACCGTGTCCCCTCGCCAATGAGTCTGCAACTCCACCTCATCGGACTCAGTTATGGACCTTGGGATGGGGCATGGAGGTGGACACTGGTCAACAATATGGCACAGGATATTCTTTTCTGATCACATTTAACCATACTTTGCAATATTATGATTCACTTTCTTGCCTTTTCTTATAACTGTTTGAGAATTGGGGCTTTGTTTTTTCATATGGCCCAGCCTCCATAGTCTCTTTACGTTATTTGTAGCTCAACTCAAGCCACATCCCATTGTACAAAGGCCAGATTTACATAACACCAACACTTTAGACAAACTCAACAGGACTGGCTCTCTGACTCTAATGATTGGGATAATCACTTGAATCTCCTGCTGACACAAAGGGACCAAAATCTCACCCACACTGCATGCCATTTTAAAGATGTACACAGACAGTGCTGTGTGTGTGTGTGTGTTTGTGTGTGGTTGCATGCTTTCACCTGCAGAAGTGTGGTGGCTTCTGCATGCTGTGTGTGTGTGTGTGTGTGTGTGTGAGAGAGAGAGAGAGAAGAGAGGGTAAGAGGGAAAGGGGGTCCATGTTGTTACAGATACAAAGGAGTTTGTGAATTTTGCGCTAGAGTCGGGCCAAAAGTCCTTGAGTTTTTCTACATTGCTTTTGTAAGCAGAATTTGAGTAGAAATAATGAGAGAAAATACATATTTTGCTGACTTGTTTTGCTGTTGCTTATGAGGGACTATAGATTCATTCAATATACAAATATTTTTTGATGTTTTTGTGATTGAACTGTATTCTATGATATAGACCATTTAAAATGCGTAATGTATGCACAGAACATTTAGTGTGAAAAGAGCTGATAATGATACTACATTTGTCCAGTTACAGCAGTACTCAGAGATACACTATAATGTTCACATGTGGCACTTAATAAAATCGCACAACCTGAAGCTTCCTCAGTGATGATGACTGTGTTGGAATAATTAACGTGAGTAAATGTCTTCCTGCATCATAACTGTTTCGGTACTTTTTGGTGATCTGCCCATTCTTGAAGTATTTTTTCACTTCAGACTTAACATGACACATATACACATCACATTATTACCTGGCAGGGGTCAAACAATAGTTGTTGGGTTTTTTTGTCTCTTCACCACACAGGTATGGCAAATATTTAACTAATAAATAACACGTGTGTGATATATAGATAAACAAAGTCACTTCTAGTTTATTCTGATGCTTTATGTAAAAAGATTTGTCTTTAAGTTCATTGGCTCTTCCTTTCACAGCTGACATTTTGTACTGTCTGTAAAAGACAAGTGTAACTAATTACATTGATGTCTCCATTTAGCCAGCATGCACAACAAGAGGGCAGAGCCGTAATTAATGTTATGAGTTACACCTGTGCTTTTCCTGCTATGAATGTCAAAATGGCTGCTGTGAAAATGTTCTGTTTACAATATGACAATAGCTGTGGCTCATATCATTTACCTTTTGTCTTCCTTCACTTATGTCTGAAAATGGAATTAAAACCTGACTTTATATCAGAATGATCTATTTGGGATTTTAAAAATAGGCATGAAAATCAGTCCTTGTTTGTAATGTTACAAGAAATATTACATAACATGAAAAATAATTGCACTATTGCTACTGACCTACGGATATCTGTTTTCGCAACACTGGTATAGAAGTACGCTGATGACTTCAGTTTCACCACACATTTACATATAGTACAAGGGCTGTGAGACTTAGATATACAGGTGCTGGTCATATAATTAGAATATCATCAAAAAGTTGATTTATTTCAGTAATTCCATTCAAAAAGTGAAACTTGATTATATTCATTCATTACACACAGACTGATATTTCAAATGCTTATTTCATTTAATTGTGATGATTAAAACTGACAACTAATGAAAATCCCAAATTCAGTATCTCCAAAAATTAGAATATTAAGACCAATACAAAAAAGGATTTTTAGAAATGTTGGCCAACTGAAAAGTATGAACATGAAAAGTATGAGCATGTACAGCACTCAATACTTAGTTGGGGCTCCTTTTGCCTGAATTACTGCAGCAATGCGGCGTGGCATAGAGTCGATCAGTGGCACTGCTCAGGTGTTATGAGAGCCCTGATAGTGGCCTTCAGCTCTTCTGCAATGTTGGGTCTGGCGTATCGCATCTTCCTCTTCACAATACCCCATAGATTTTCTATAGGGTTAAGGTCAGGCGAGTTTGCTGGCCAATAAAGAACAGGGATACCATGGTCCTTAAACCAGGTACTGGTAGCTTTGGCACTGTGTGCAGGTGCCAAGTCCTGTTGGAAAATGAAATCTGCATCTCCATAAAGTTGGTCAGCAGCAGGAAGCATGAAGTGCTGTAAAACTTCCTGGTAGACGGCTGCGTTGACCTTGGACCTCAGAAAACACAGTGGACCAACACCAGCAGATGACATTGCACCCCAAACCATCACTGACTGTGGAAACTTTACACTGGACTTCAAGCAACGTGGATTCTGCGTCTCTCCTCTCTTCCTCCAGACTCTGGGACCTTGATTTCCAAAGGAAATGCAAAATTTACTTTCATCAGAGAACATAACTTTGGACCATTCAGCAGCAGTCCAGTCCTTTTTGTCTTTAGCCCAGGCAAGACGCTTCTCACGCTGTGTCTTATTCAAAAGTGGCTTGACACAAGGAATGCGACAGCTGAAACCCATGTCCTGCATACGTCTGTGCGTGGTGGTTCTTGAAGCACTGACTCCAGCTGCAGTCCACTCTGTGAATCTTCCCCACATTTTTGAATGGGTTTTGTTTCACAATCCTCTCCAGGGTGCGGTTATCCCTATTACTTGTACACTTTTTTTTCTACCACATCTTTTCCTTCCCTTCGCTTCTCTATTGATGTGCTTGGACACAGAGCTCTGTGAACAGCCAGCCTCTTTAGCAATGACCTTTTGTGTCTCGCCCTCCTTGTGCAAGGTGTCAATGGTCGTCTTTTTGGACAGCTGTCAAGTCAGCAGTCTTCCCCATGATTGTGTAGCCTACAGAACTAGACTGAGAGGCCATTTATAGGCCTTTGCAGGTGTTTTGAGTTAATTAGCTGATTAGAGTGTGGCACCAGGTGTCTTCAATATTGCATAACATTTTCACAATATTCTAATTTTCTGAGATACTGATTTTGGGGTTTTCATTAGTTGTCAAAATGAAAAGTAATGAACACTTGAAATATATCAGTATGTGTGGAATGAATGTATACATTATACAAATTTCACTTTTTGAATGGAATTACTGAAATAAATCAACTTTTTGATGATATCCTAATTATATGACCAGCACCTGTACATTAGATTAAGTGTTCAGGTTTGCAGCCTACAAATGTCATCATGCATCCTGTTCAGATTCCCAGTTCATCTTTGTCCTTCAGACTGTTGCTTACAGACTTGAAACCATATGAATGCTGGAAGGAGCGCTACAAAATTGGGAGTGGACACCCCTCCACTCTAAGAGGACAGGTTTGACAAGTAGGGTGTCACCAACATTTGACAGGGTGCAATTATGAAGTGTGAAACCTGAATGTGTTATACATCTTAAACATGGCAGGACCGTACTTGCTTTTCATAGCCTTCAACTCGCATCATACAGGTGCATCTCAGGAAAATGTTTTTTTCTGTAATTTAATTCAAAAAGTTAAACTTTCCTATATCTTAGACTCATTACATATAAAATGAAATATCTTTGATTATGGCTTAGCTCATTAAAATCAAATTAAATATTAGAATAAAGAATGTATAATACAGACATGTCGACCTGAAAAGAGCATTTAATCTCTCATTCTGGTTCAGTACTCACCCACAATCATGGGGAAGACTTCTGACTTGACAGTTGTCCAAAAGACACTCATTGAAACCCTCCACAAGTAGGGAAAGCCACAGAAGATTATTGCTGAAAGGGCTGGCTGTATCAAAGCATATTCACGGAAAGTTGACTCCTTTTCAGATGCAAGTCAATTTTGCATTTCATTTGGAAATCAAGGTCCCAGAGTCTGGAGGACGATCGGAGAGGCACAGAATCCAAGTTGCTTGAAGTCCAGTGTGAAGTTTCCACAGTCAGTGATGATGTGGGGTGTCATGTCATCTGCTGGTGTTGGTCCACTTTTCTATAGTCCAGAGTCAGTGCAGCAGTCTACCAGGAGATTGTAGAGTGCTTCCCTCTGCTGACAAGCTTAATGGAAATGCTGATTTTCTTTTACAGCAGGACTGCCCACAGTTCCCAAACCACTAGTCACTGGTTCGCTGTCTGTACCTCTGTGTGTATATTGTGTAGGCTGCCTCCCTCCCCTCTCTCTCTCCTTACATCCCTCTCTCTCTCTCTCTCTTTCTCTCTTTCTCTCTTTCTCTCTTTCTCTCTCTCTTTCTCTCTCTCTCACCCCAACCGGTCGAGGCAGATGGCCGCCCACCCTGAGCCATGGTTCTGCTCGAGGTTTCTGCCTCTTAAAAGGAAGTTTTTCCTTGCCTCTGTCGCCTAGTGCTGCTCTTGGTGGGAACTGTTGGGCTTCTGTAAATATCATCACAGAGTACGGTCTAGACCTGCTCTTTTATGAAAAGCGCTGTGAGATAACTGTTGTTGTGATTTGGCGCTATATAAATAAAATTGAATCGAATTTAATTGGTTTGTTGACCATGGTATTACTGTGCTTGATTGGCCAGCCGACTCTTCTGACCTGAACCTCTTAGAAAATCTATGGGGTATTGTCAAGAGGAAAATGAGAGACCCCAGATCCAACAATACAGACGAGCTGAAGAGCCGCTATCAAAGCAATCTGGGTCTCCATGCCAAGTCTGACCAAGTAATGAGTGCATAAATTAACCTTTTCAGAAGGTCAACATGTCTGTATTATAAATCCTTTGTTCTAATATTTTGAGAAATGGATTTTTGATTTCCATGAGGGCTAAACTGTAATATTCAAGATTAAAAAACAAAGGCCTGTAATATTACACTTTGTGTAATGAATCTAGAAAATATAAACATTTCACTTTTTGTATTCAATTACAGGAAAAAAATAATTTGAGATGCAAATGTATAGCAAGGGCAGATATTTCATGCCACAGTTATTGGGGACAACAAAAAAAAAATCTATCAGCAGGAGATTTTAGAAATAAAGTTGCTGAGTGTCTGACAACAGTGGTTATATTTAATTAATTTAATTGTTTTAATCCAAATTATTGCTTCATCACAATTCATTCACCCGAAGTAGTTGCCTCATTTCAATTTAATAGAACTGCTGTTAAGCTAAATACAAATTTTGTCTATGTCTATTCTTTTGCCAGATGTGGACAGTTTATTTTATATATGCTCTTTGCTCAACAGAAGAGGGCAGCATTACAGTTTGAAAAGTGCCTCTGAACTGTAACTGAAGGCTAAAAAACATGGGAGGGAAGGAAAAGAGAACTGTACTCAGAAGCAGAACACCAGTACTGAGATTGCACATAAATTGTAATGTTTACATATTTTAATGACATCTGTGGATGAATGTGAAAGTAGGAATTAGTGTAGTGTACTGCTATATTGACTCAACCATTTTACATACAGATTGAGCATCAAAAGGCCAGTGCTATATATATTGGATTAAATGCTACTGCCTTTAGGGTCACCACTACTGTTATGTCTACTGCTGCTAATAATTCTTAATGAGCGACAAAGGTATTTAGTGCAGAAAAACACAACACCAAATTATGATTTGATAACCCCATAAATTGTGGAAGCAGTGAGTTTAATGTTCCCATAAATCCTTAATTAAATCCATCCGTCCAGGAAATGCCTATGGTAGACTGACAGAACGGCTCAGATAGGCTGGGCCTTCTGCATGCTGTTGATCACACCACTAGATGTCATGGGCCCCTCAAGGAAGACTGCAACAGACAAGGGCCTTATAGAGGGCCTATGTTTGCTTCCCGGCTGGAAGTTTTCTTTTGTTTATCCTTTGGCTGAAACACTAGCCTGAGCTATGCCTCCTTCTC